TTAGATAGAAATAGAAGTTGTGGATTAATTTTGTAAGGTAAAAATATGAAAATGTATTTTTATTGGCCGAAAGTGCTCTTTGCTTCACTTTTTGAATGGATGCTCTTTATCGTGGTACGAGTTTCTGTATAAGAAAAACAAAAAAAATGAGTTAAATTAATTCGTGAAAAGCAAAAGTGAAATTTTTTTCTTCTAGAAAAGAAAATGATAAATCTTTAAAGGAACTTTTTAAGGTAAAAGGGTTTATTTACTCTTTTACTTTTATTGATTATTGAAATAAATTATTACTTGCATGTTCAAAAAAAAAAATATTACTTTTTTAAAATAAATCATTCTTCATATTAACATATTCAATGAAATTAGTCTTTTTATGTTCTAATTAAAATAAATTAGTTAAAATTTAATAAATAATATAATAATAAATAATTATTTTGCCATTCAACTTCAATATTCGTTAAGCCCTTACTAAATTGTCCTATTTTTCTAATAAAATAAAATTTTTTTTAGTATCAACGGTGTATTAAGAAATAGTTAACCAATCTCATTTTCCATTTGATTATTTGTGAAAAAAAAAAAATGTTGAAACCGCTAAGACGGGAGGGCAAAATGGTAAATCCAGCTATTATGTAGAAAGTAGATGGCCAATCTTGTAATTCTAAATCTCTATACTCGTAGGAAATCTCTTATCATACTTTTAAATTAATTGAAATTAGTGTTTTTATATTTTGATTAAAATAAATTACTTAAAATTTAATAGATGATATAATCATAAGCCATTATTTAAAAATTTACCTTTAATACAAGTTAAACTCTTACTAATTTGACAATCTTAAGCCTACTTTTCTAAGGATATGTCTTTTTTTTTTTTTGATATCATGCTAGTTATCCAAAAATAGTTAATTAATCTCATTTAACTACTTATAAAAAAAATGTTGTATCATTAAAAATTTTTTTCTAAGATTGTCAAAATCCATAAGAGTTTATGAGTTGAAGGGAAAATACAAATGATGACATATGATTATATTATTTATTAAAATTTGGTTAATTTATTTCAACTAAAATATAGAAAGGTTAATTTCATTCAATTTAAAAGTATGAGGTAAAATTTATTTTAAGAAAAAATTATGAGATTCATTTTAATAATTACTAAAAGTATAGGAGTAAATATGACATTTTCGTAATTTTCTTTACGAGATCCACTAACAACTTTTTTACTGACATTTTTTATATTAATTTTTTACCAACGATAAAAAGTTTAAGTAATAAGATCCATTATTAAACTTATCAACTTTATATATAACATATTTTTATCTTTTTTACAGAATTTTTTAATATGTACCTTTAGTGCCTTAAAAAAATATTTAATTTAAGAATTATTTAATAAAATTTATTCACATGATATTGATATTAAAAATTAATGTTTAATTTTATATTTTGTATACAAATTTATTGTAAAAATGTATAATTAAGGGCACAAATTAAAAAAATTATTTTTTATAAGAGTTTATCTGGTCTAGGAATATAAGTTAAAGATGTATTAAATTCATTATTTTTTTATTAGTTTATATAACAAATATAAAAATTAATTTTATTTTTAACATTAATAGCAAATATCTAATTTTAATTAAATAAGTAATAAAATTAAAGCTAATTTTTATTTTTTATAAAAATTAATTAAAAAATTATATAATTAATATTCTTTTAACATATATCTTAATAATAAAAAATAAAAAAAATCCTATTTATAAAATATTTTTTCAATCAATTTTTTAGTAAAAGAAAACCGAGAATTCCGAGATGAGTAGAACCCAAAAAGTTGGAAGTATTGAAATTGCAAGGGCAAATCCAGCTATTACGTCAAAAATAGAGGTAAAAACCCATAGATTGTACTTTAATTTTTTAAATGTGTGAAATTTTACTTCTCATTTTACAATATATGTATTTATATTTTCTTAATATTTGAGTTTATGATTTTATATCCTTATGATATTTGAGTTTATAATATTATACACTCCCAAAGTTATAAGATGAGGAGTAAAATTCCATATACTCAAACACCAAAAAAGTATAAAATTATATCAGGAGGGTATAAAATTACATATTATAAGGTGAGGGGTAAAATTTCACATACTCAAAAAGTTGAAGGGCAATCTATCGGGTTTTGCCCAAAAGTAGATGACCAATCTCGTAATTTTGCAAACGTCAATCCACGCCTCTCTCCCCCACCCTCCTCGACCCTCAGCGCCTCCTAAACGTCAGAACCGGCTATTGCCGGTAGCACCCCCCCCATCGCCTCTTCCCCCTAAACCCCTCCTTATCCCGTGACGGTACACTCCTCTTTTCCCCCTCCGCTTCGTCTTTCAATAATCAAAATCCCTAAAAATCCTTTCCAATTCCTCAAATCCAATGGCTTCCACTAACCCTAACCTAAAACCCTAGAAATCTCTGATTCTTTTAAATAGCGATTCTATATTATTCTTTTTGGTGGATTCTTTTTTAGTGACATGGATGGAGCGAGTAGCAGTAGCATCAACAGGAATGATTCGTCCACGAATGGACAAGGAGATCAGGCAGTGCAGCCTCAGCCGGTGGCGTTTCAGAGTGCAAGCGGGCCGCCGCCATTTCTGAGCAAGACTTACGATATGGTGGATGACTCGGCCACGGACGCGATCGTTTCCTGGAGCCCTACTAATAACAGCTTTGTTGTCTGGAATCCTCCCGAGTTTGCGCGCGATCTTCTGCCTAAATACTTCAAGCACAACAACTTCTCCAGTTTCGTCAGGCAGCTAAACACTTATGTAAGGGTTCATTTATTTTTTGCTTTGTAGCTTTTGTTTCACTCCAGCCTTTTTACCTTCTAGTTATTGGGGATGGATTTAGATGGAGAAAGGGGAAACCGTCGCTTATTATTTCTGATTTGTTTTAGTTTGGTTGCTTGGAGTGATGTTCATTGTGGATTATTTATGGAGTTGCTGAATTAGTCACTTTGTTGGTGGAGTAGACTGTTCTTGTGTGGTGGTGGAATCCCGAATCCTTCAGCCTTTTTATCTTAACTGACCATTATACCCAAAGATGTTGACTTTCGAGAAAAATTGTAGTGCAAATAAAAGTGAATTAAAATTAAGGGTATAATAGTTGGGTAAAGCTAAAAAGATGTGGCTTGTAGGTGGGGCAATAGCCTTATTCTTTCTTGTGAAAGAAGCAATTGAAAGTAAACTATTTATGAAAACTTGAGCAGAAAGAAGTCATTTATGGAAACCTATATTAAACAAACCTGGGCAGAGATAGAAAGGGCTTATGAAATCTTTGGTGTGGGTAGAAGTAGGCATGGAGTATTGTTGTTGATTTTGGGAATCCTTAGTTTCCTTGTTAATGACAAGGATTTCTGATGGAGAACAGTGTAGTTAAACACAATTTTTTGTCAGGTGAAGGCCATTTTCCGTTCATGTTTGCTGAGAAAATTGAGGAAGAGGAAATCTGAGTGTTTGGATAGCTGAGCTGCATGGCTTGGTTGTTTTCAGAAGTTGTGCATCTGCTTGTAGTTAATTAGTTTTGAAGAGGAAAATGCTATGTTGAGGTTTAGGCTTGCATGGGTTTGGGTTGTTGTTTACCATATAGAAATCAATTAAGATCTTGAAAACTATATGGTTGATAAGAAGTTTTATAAGAATGGGGGGGTGATCAATTTCAAGTCATTTTATATGTTGCTTCAATTTTGTAAAAGAAAAACTCATTACTACTAAATGTCACATTTGTACTGGGGATTCGATTGTTTTAATTTTTCTTCCTGAATTTTCTCAGCAACCAAATGCAGCAGAAAGGGGAAATGGAAAAGAAAGCAAATCTCATGTTATTCATGACCTGATCCCAAGGTTACTAATGAGTATTGTTATTGTTTTCAAGTTTTTCACTGGTATTTTAATTTTGACCTTCTAAAGGCAACACAAGCTTATACAATTGGTGTTTCAAATGGATCTCTTTTCTTTCCTCTTTTTTTTTTTTTTTTCCTTTTTTGGGGAAGGGGGATGGGTCAGTTGGAGCTACTGTTATGTTATGCAGATATAAGGGCATAAAGGTAATATAGTGAAGAAGAATTCAAGACTGACTTCTTGATTTGAGTGAGAATAAGCTACCTCATTGGTATACTATTGTAGCTGCTCAACCCATTTAAACTCCAAGTTGTTTCCTCTTTTATTTAATTATTTAACTGAATTTCAAAACCTAAAATCCTAGCTTTTTAAGTTTTAGTGTTCAACTTTAGCCCAGCAGGCAGATTAAGCAGATACTTTCTAAACTGGTGTAACTTCTTGGAAGCTGCATATTTTAGATTAGCCAAAGTACTTGTTCTGAAGAGTACGAGTGTGATTTTTATGCATTTCACCACCTTCTAGTATTTTCTGTTTATTGTTACTTTGTTGGCACCATAATATCAGCAGTAACCCTCTCTCCTATGTTACCCATCCTGCTCTGATGTCTGGACATGAACTTATTAGGATCTTTAACAGTCTGTGTCAAGGAAGGATACTTGAAGGATACTCTGCCAGATTACTCTTTCATTGGCAATTTGCAAAAGGATTTATATTGATTTCATGATCCCCTCCTCTCTTATGGTTCTTGTTGACATGATGTGCTGCGTTGTTGGCCAATATGACGAGTTTGAGAGATGATAAAAGATTAATTATGTCTCTTCATGAATTGATGCTGTATGCCTGACAAGATTAATTATTTGTTTCTTTCAACATGCTCTTCGCAATCTATTTGTTTCATTTTGTCTAGGTTCTTCTGAGTGATTTTTTTCTTTTAATAAATTTCCTTTTGTTGTAATTCGGTTCATGAGCAGGGTTTTAGGAAGGTTGATCCAGACCGATGGGAATTTGCAAATGAGGGATTTTTAAGGGGTCAGAAACACCTGCTTAAGAGTATTACTCGACGGAAGCCTGCCCATGGGCATGGTCATCAGCAGCCCCAGCAATCACATGGACAGAGTTCATCTGTGGGTGCCTGTGTTGAGGTTGGGAAATTTGGGCTTGAGGAAGAGGTTGAGAGGCTTAAGAGGGACAAAAATGTGCTTATGCAGGAACTTGTCAGGTTAAGGCAGCAGCAACAGACTACTGATAGCCAGCTGCAGACCATGGCACAGCGACTTCAGGGAATGGAGCAGCGGCAGCAACAGATGATGTCATTCCTGGCAAAGGCTGTTCAGAGCCCTGGATTTTTGGCTCAATTTGTACAGCAGCAAAATGAGAGTAATAGGCGTATAAGTGAAGCCAACAAGAAGAGGAGGCTCAAGCCAGATGGTATCATTGAGAATGAGCATTCTGCTGCTCCTGATGGTCAGATTGTTAAATATGAGCCCTGTAGGAATGATCCACAAGCAATGCTCAGGCAGTTCATGAAAATGGAATCTTCTCCTCAGCTAGAACCTTTTGACAACAACCACGAGAATTTCCTACTTGGTGATGGTTCATCATCTTCTATTGGAGTAGACAGTGGGAGCTCTTTGAACCGCACATCAAGAGTGACCCTTCAGGAGGTCCCACCAACTTCAGGGCCGTCAACCTTTGTGCCAGCAGGTGCAGGGATCTCAGGGCATGGACCCACAGCTACTATATCTGAAGTACAGTCTACATCCCATGTCACTACTTCTGAAAAAATTTCTACAGCTCAGTTTCCTGATATGAGTGCTGTGGCTAGAGCACAAGATCCACCATCCATCTCTGTTCCTTCCGAAGATGTAGTTATGACTGAACTTCCCCAAAATCCAGAAATGGTGCCAGAAAGTATTGTTGATATTCCTACAGAAAATTATTTGGGGTCTGAAGCAGGGGATGATGGATTTATTGATACAAGTCCAATGGGAGTGACTGGTTCCATAGAAATTAATGCCATTTCTCCAGATGAAGATATAGATGCTTTGCTGGCAGATTCTAACTTCTGGGAAAACCTTTTAATGCAAAGTCCTGTGCCTGAGGATATTGAGCCAGCCTCAGTGGATGGTAGGAACGAGGGAAGTGAAGGGCAGGCAGTGGACAATGGATGGGACAAAATTCAGCATATGGATAATCTCGCAGAAAAAATGGGTCTTCTTACATCAGATAGCAAGGGGGTTTAATCTTGCCAATGGAATTGTGTAATTCTTTTTACCAGCATCTGAGGTAAACCCCAGTGTCAATCAAAACACCCTCCATGGTCACATGATCCTCTTGTCTATATATATTTTTTTACTTAAAAACAACTGATTCAATCTGTAGACTGTAGCCGTTCATTTTGACTTTGCTTTTGCACATATATCGACGCTGTTTCAATTTAGATTTATTATTTTCCAGTGCAATTTCCCGGTTCCATCGCCTTTCATGCTGGATTTACCGAAGTTGGCAGGATCGATAATGTTGGCTGTTGGATACTGCCGTTGTTTTTTCCTCTCTATTTTTCATTTGACGTGCTTATAAGCAGGGACGGAGCCAGAAAATAA